GGATTCGTTTCCGGCATTTAGCGACGCTTCTATTTCGATCGTGGAACACTTAAAACCGTAACACTTGTTGCAATTCGTTCCTCCGGTTTTGAGAAACTTCGTCGAACAGCCTTGAGAATTATTGAGAAAGGGAGAAGCAATGAATTTCGTATGAAAATTGCGGAGTTTCATGCGAAGTAAACATTGTCCGCGTAGATTGCAAAACAGACGAGTCGAGTATAATTTTAATTCTTTCTTTAATAATTTTCATAATTTGTAATTAGTACATCAACATTTATGGTTTCATTTAATGGTTTCGCTGTTTCCCGTTCCACCCACCCATTTTTGCTATGAATAATTAACAGTGTTAGAAACGAATTTATGTAATAGAGCGAAACGAAATTAGACAGCATTGTATTATTTACCAGAAGCTGTACAGTGTTTCTAATACAAACTATGCAAAATTAGTTAACATTACGGGTGAAAAATCATGATGAGATGACAATAATAATAATAATGATTTTGCTCAAATTGATTTTAACCAGCCACGATTTTTTAACCCACCGAGTTTCTGTGCCTCATTACGTGTCCCGATTTCTCTACACTAATCCTTTGAATAGGAACCCACTTTGGCTGACACTTTACACTAACGACATTGACTTCATCGATGATTTCAATAAATTTCAATATCATCTCTCTAATGTTACGAGAAGCTAGGATGTTCAATTTGCGTTTGTTTTGTATATTGTAATCATATTGTATTCATTTATATTTTATTACCGTCATCATCATTATTATTATTGTTATTATATTATTTTTATATTTCCGTTAAATTTTTGTAGTCATTTTTTAGCTGTCGTTGCTAAATAAATAAGTATTATGAAAATCCGTGCTGCAGTGGATTTTACAACTGAAAGGGCCGGCCCCTTTGGTAATCAAGATTTGATACGAAGAATCCCCCCTCCCCCCGAGTCTCGAAGGAGGAAATAATTTTCAAAAAAATCCGTTATGAATTTATGGGAAGAGGGACCTCGCGCAATAGCGCTTGATCAGAACGGTGGTAGGGCGAGTGGCGAGCGGGCGCGGGCGGCTCGGTAAAAAGAGAGAAAGCCGCGAGGAATGACGCGGCGCGCACCAGAGTCAGGCCCGTACGAAATTTTAATTAAATTTCATAATCTGGAGACGACGCTGTCCCGCGCATTGTCAGCAACGGGACTTAAGCTTTTGTCGCGTGGACGAGCGACGAGACTCGTCCTCGTAGAATATGTTGATGCCGCACGCTCTCGCCCTCGTTCTGCACCGAAATGACTGTACCGCCGGCGCGCAGTACATTTAATTAATTCTCGGCTGGTCTACCAACGGCACCGAGACGCCGACGTTTTTTTTCCCCCCCGCCCGTAAATAGCCACGTTCCCTAAATTCGATTAAAACTATAATCAGCGTCGTCGCGCGGGATGAACGGCGGCCGGGGGGGACGACGGGGGTGGAGGAAATCGCGAAATTGGAAACGGTTTTCATTTATTTTCCTTCTCGTTTTTTTTTCAACGTTTATTTTGTACTCGGTTGCGCGTATTTATTTCTTCGGCTTTTTCTTTTTTTTTTTTTTTTTTTGTTTTTGGGTGTTGTTGGTTGTTCGTTGTTG